TCATAAGTTGTACAATAGGAAGAAGGCAAGCACTATTCAAGCTACCCCGATAAGATGTGAAAAAGAAATGACTGTTTTAATCTCAGTGTTTCTACTTCAAAAACCAAAACATATTCTCATCAGAGGACAGAATTCCAAAGAAAATCAAGGTAGATTAGAGGCATGGACTTCACTTTGATTTACTGGCTTTGCTGACCATAAAAAAAAAAATAGTAATTAGATTAATTTGGCAATTCTTCCCTCCCTGGGAATTTCTCTTTTTTCTTCAGGTTCTCTTTTACAATGAGGTTAGTTTAGTTATTGCTAAGAATCAATGTATTCCTATTCAACATAGTTGACTTTCTGATATACTCCCCACCCAGGTATTAAGTGAGGCTAAAGGGGTTTGTTTATTTCCCCCTTGTTCTTTGTTGTCTGTTCCTGGGAATGTAGACACACCTGTGTGTTCTTATCCCTGAAGCCACTGAATTCACTGAAGTGAAACAGGCACCACTCCTAGCGTTTTTCTTTCCAGTCTTATACATTTTCAATATGCAGTGATTCTCAAGGCCAATATTTGTGAGAATTTTCTTTCTTAAACTACAACTGTAGCTGCTTCATCATCATCATCCTCTTTGGCAGATGGGAAATTTGAAACACAGAGAGATAAATTAGCATGTTTCAGGTCATACAGCTAATTAATAACAGTTAAGATTCAAACCTAGGCAGTCTGGCTTCAGAGTCTATACTCTTCTCTCTGCAATGCTGTCTCTTCTATTTAGTTCATTTCCCTACATAATCAAAGACTATGGGAAACTGTGAATTCCTGACATAACTCATGATCCATCAATTCTCTGGGTATCTTTGTGTTGAGTGATGTTAGCAGTCTTTGGGAAGGGTATTTTCGGGTGACAGGGACTCTCCTTCAGGTCGTTATTTGCAATACAATTGCTGTGGCCTCTTCAGAAATCTTAGGGGAGCAATTGAAGAAATTTACTAGAGTCACAAGTTAGTTTATGACACATGATTGTGAAATTTTACTTCCCAAAGGATTATTATACTCCTTGCTCAGGAGATAACATATAAGAAGTGTTAGAAATGGTACCTGATGGCACCTAATGATATCACCTGGGGTGATGTCACATTCTTTTTCCATTCCATTTTGCTGAAGCCACTTTGAGTTGCTGTCAGGGAGAGTGATTGGTATTTTCCTGTATGGAGGATGCTGGTCCAGAGAGCAATGTGCTGTGGTGCAGCCCCAGCAGGGATGTGTGCTGTTGGTGCAGGAATTTCTGCTGTTTAACCTGGAAAAAACATTTGTTCCCTGTTAGAGGGGGTGGACAGACCTATATCCCATCTTTAGGAATGTACAAAAAGTTGATTGTTCAACCCTGGACTTCACCCTAAGCTACTTCTCCCTTAGGGATCTTTGATGTTGAATGCTGATGAAAAGGTAATCGAATTTGTGATTGTCAGTTCCAGGACCACTATAAAGAAATGAAGTGACTAAATGGAGCAGCATGAACATCTGTTCCTTGGGATTCAAAATTCCACTAGTCATTTCTTCATTTTCATGCCCTTCTGATCACCTAAAATACTTATTCCAATTTCTTGATTGGAAAGGCATTGCAAATGTTTTCACGCAAAAGTCTTGGAACTTTAGATCCTTTTTTTCTTCCAAAGATTTTTAGAAATTTCAAAGCCAAGGGGTTACAGAAATAAAATACACTTATTGTAACCAAATCAATATGTATTCAATTACCTTAATGTTCTGAAAACACTTATAGTGAGCAAATATATTCTCTTGGTTTGTATGCTAATTTATTGATTCATTTAGCAAATTAATTAATTGCTTATTGTTTATTTCCCCTACTTGCATGATAATATCAGGGATAATTTTTTCATGTTTTATCCTTTATCTTCAGAGCATGAAATAGAGACTACTTAGAGGATAGACTGAGCTCAATACACATTGCTGAGTGAATACATGGATGGATTGTAAAAACTTAGAACTTATAGAAAAGAAAACATTGAGGCTCTAGAAATAATCTATATAACATTTAAAATGTGCTTTAGTTTAAATATACCTGTATAGTTAAATAAGCCTGTGATTAAGGCAGTCCTTGCTTTATGCACTAGTGCAAGACTATAAAAAATGATCATGCAAGCCAAAATCAATACAAAGCAATCCTAATAATCCATGGGAAAAGTTACCATTGTTCCTTGACCTTTATAAAAATTTCAAAACATTAAAATCTCTCTTGATGTTGGCTATAATGGTACAGGGAAATGGAAAACAAAATGTTAAAACTGCTATTTACTTAGTACACAGTAATTTAAGACTTTAGAAACATTGAGATTAAAACTGTCATTTCTTTTTTCACATCTTATCAGGGTAGCTTGAATAATGCTTGCCTTCTTCCTATTATACAACTTATGAAGTGGACCAAACAGGTGTTTTCCTTTAAATTCCTAGACAAATTGTCATGTTCTCTTTAGTTGGGATCAGCGTACAGCATTTATTCTTTATGCTTTCTGTGTCAAGCGGTGGTCTCTTGGGTTTCTCTAGTGTGAAATTTTTTCCAGCATCATTCACTTCTTATAAGACATTGTCATCTTTTTCATCATGGCCCTTTTTCTTATAGATGTTGATAATTTGCCTTCACAAAGTTCTTTATATTCAGAATCTCTTAAATGGCGACTGGCAACATTGTCAACATTCCATGGATGTCGATGTCTTCTGCAGCTCTCTTTGTGTTTGTTTCAGATTTCACTTCTTCTAACATCATCAGTTCTTTGTTGACCAGTTTTCTCTTTTGATGAGCCACATCATGTGTATTTACCACAGAAAGGCAAGAAGGCACACAACTACACACTTGCTGTCTGTGTGAATTGAGTAACAAGCTTTTAGTGGCCAGTCACTGACGGATTGAAAGAAGAGCTATGGGGCTAGGGTTGAAGCTCAGTGGAAGAGCACTTTCCTAGCATGTATGAGGCACTGGGTTTGATTCTCAGCACAAATAAATAAAATAAAGGTCCATCAACAACTAAAAGATATTTTAAAAATATTAAAAAAAAGAAGATCCATGATTGGTCACTGTTCAGCATGCACATTTTTTAATTAAGTAGTGATTTATGGACTGAAGAGCTAGCAGCAAAGGTTTTACTTTATGCAATTACAGTTACTATACTATGTTAACAGAAATTTGAACTGTGTTGTTAAAGGATTAAAATTATTTAACTAAACTGTGCTACCTGAAATACACACACATGATAGAACTGAGCAAAGTGAGGGTTGCCTCAATTTTGGACTTTGATTTATGGATATGTATTGTGCATTTTTTCTTTACTAGAATAGGGCCACTTTATGCCTATGATTATTTTTTTTTCATTTGGTTTTATATGGTATACGTGTAAAAACCCTGCAATCTTGAATTCATGTTTTATGACTGCATGGTATTTTGCTGTGTATTTGTACCATGTTTAGTTAACCAATCCTTCTTTCTTTTTTTTCTCAATTATGAACAATACTGCAAAGATCACCACTGTAGCAAAAATCTTTGAAACAGCTAGCATTTATTTGAAATGAATGTATTTTTAGTGGAAGAATTCCTGGCTTATAAGATATACTTTTAATAATTTTTTTTAGTTATAGATGGACACAATACCTTTATTTTATTTATTTATTTTTATGTGCAGCTAGTGCCCCACATGTGCTAGGCAAGTGCTCTACCAATAAGCTACAATCCCAGCCACCAGGATATACTTTTAAAACATTCCCACATCCTTCCAAATTTCCCTTTAGAGATTTTTTCCCTTTTAGGTTCCTTCTAACAGCCTACAATGGGAGATACTATTTCACAATTTCTAAACATTGGGCATTGTCATTCTTTCCTATTGTTATATTTCAATAGGTGAAACATATATACTTTAATAATTAGTTTTGATTACTAATTAGGTTGAATATTTTTTCATGGATTTATTTGCAGTAAATAAATTTTGACCTTTCAACTTTTATTTTGTCCTATATTTATGTAATTTTCAGATGGTGGGCATTTTCATGTTTTATTAGGTTGTTTGTATTGAAATCTAAATATAAATCTATTGATTTATATATTATATTCATGTGTGTGATATACATTAATTGTTTCCGTATGTATATGTCATTGGATTATTATTATAAAAGTATACATGGGCCTTAGTTTTTAATGTGACCATCAATTTCCAAATACTTTCATCCCTCTCCTTTTTAAAAAAGAGAAAATAACCTACAACCTGGGGGAAATTCTAGTTAAATTTTCATTACATGATTTCCAGGAGATGGGGTCAAAAGGAGCTAGTAGGGCATTCAATTATCTGCTTAAGTGTGTTGGAAAACTTTTTCCCTCTCAGGTGTACAATATTTTACTTGGACTTGTTTTTCAAGTGCATTGAAGTGTGACTAAATATTTTTGGGTACTGCCATTATGTAAAAAAGAGACCTCATCTTGTTAAATATTCCTTTACCAACTTTGCAGTTAGTCAGTTATGGTCAGCGAGGAGCCTGGGAGGGCCATGGGCTCAGACATTGGACAGAGGGAGGGTGGGTGGAAGGTGTGGGCCTAAGGAAAACCCAGGATTGGGGTGCTCTGATGCCCCTCCCACAGCGACATGAAAATGTGATTGGTTCAAGATGATTTCCGTCTTATAATTTTGGATGGGTCATAAGTGAGGAAGGAGGAGAAGTCATGTGGTTGGGCCTCAGCACATCTGAGGGCGCAAGGTTCTTGGTTACAAACTACACAGACCTGGAGCGCAGTTCTTTTGGAGAACTGAGATACAGATTGGACCAAAAGAAGAGAGACCAATTTTGAGTGCTTTTTGGCTTTAGGTTGGGGATAAGGGAGAGTCAGCAAGAAAGATGTCTACTGAAAATGTGGAAGGGAAGCCCAATAACCCTGGGGAGAGAGGAAGATCTCGGAGCTACACTTTCCTCCGGGTTGTCCAGCCAGTGTTTAACCACAGTATTTTCACTTCTGCAGTCTCTCCTGCCGCAGAACGCATCCGATTCATCTTGGGAGAGGAGGATGACAGCCCAGCGCCTCCCCAGCTCTTCACCGAACTGGATGAGCTGCTGGCCGTGGATGGGCAGGAGATGGAGTGGAAGGAGACAGCCAGGTGAGGCATGGCTGATCATATGCTGTACTAACTCAGTGTGGGGCATGGTAGGTGAGCCTGCAGGTGCCTTCTTCTCACCTCCACACCCTGAATGGGCAATGAGGGTGGTGTTGCTGCTGCATTAAGGAGTGAACAACCCCTATTTCTTCTTTTCTTCTACATTGACATGGTTGCAGGGCACCCTTCCTTTCACTGTTGAATCATAGTTTCATTGCCCTGTGCTGTTGTAAGTTTGACTTTTATAATGAATGAGAAGTTGATCTCAATTTATATTCCTACTTTACGGTAAAGTTTTTTATAGAGATAATAAACTCAGGCACCCAAAGATGATAGCCTACAGATGTGCAAATAACTCCAATTTATCTTGTGAGACCTTGTTTTATTCTCACTCCATGATAAGAGAGGCATTGTGAAGATGGTGATAGGAATTAGCAGAGTAGGATTTCAAGTAAAAACCTGTCATCTTCTAAACATCCAGCTAAAAGCAAGTAGAAGATTCACTTCAATTTGGAGTTTAAAGACCTCAGTTTACTTTTATGCTCTGTTTCCTGTTAGCTGAATGGTATTTAGTTTCTTTGGTTTTATGCCGGATTCAGTGGTTTATGCCTATAATCCCAGTGATTCAGGAGGCTGAGGTAGGAGGAGTGCAAGTTTGAGGCCAATCTCAGCAGCTTATTAAGACCCCGCCCCAAAATAAAAAATAAAAAGAACTGCATATATAACTCAAAAGAAAAAAAAGAACTCTGGATTCATTATCAATAAAGAGTAGATAAAGTTCATTGGATTAGACAGAGCAATGAAGGGAAGGGAGGAGATGTGAGAATAGAATAGTAGAATGAATCGGACATAACTTTCCTATGTTCAGTTATGAATGTACAACCAGTATAACTTCACATCCCATTCAACCACAAGAATGGGATCCTAACTGGAATAAATTGAACTCCATATATGTGTAATATGTCAAAATACACTTGATTGTCAAGTATATCTAAAAAGAACAATAAAAAGTGTAGATAATCATACCTATTATGTATGATATGTATTTATGTTATATAAAATGTGTAATATTGGGGCTGGGGTTGAGGCTCAGTGTTAGAGTGCCTGCCTCGCACATGTGAGGCACTGGGTTTGATCCTCAACACCACATAAAAATAAATAAATACATTTTTAAAATGTGTAACATATTCTGTATAATTATATCATATTTTTATCTACACACACACACATATATATAGATATAGAAATGCTTTCTACATTATTAACCACTATAACAGGTAGATAAACTTTCATGATTTCTGAGCTTTCCTTTACAAATAAATTCAGTTACATATCCCAGAGTAAATCTTCTTTTGTGACATGAATAATTATGTAATATAAAGACTTTGATATTGGTCTCTCATTGTTTTGTAATACAGAGATACCAATTTGTTTCAGTTTTCTAAATAAAATAATGTTTATGTCTTTTATAGACAATAATTTATTCATATCAATTCAATTTACGCAGTGCTTTTTTGAGTGATTAGTATATATCCAAGCATTATTTTATGTTCTGAGAGTGCAGTAGGGAGCAGAAGAAACACATACAGTGACCTCTGTACTTTATTGAAAAGTTTGAAGCAAGTTCAAAATGCTGTGTTACAATCTGAGGAATACCAATCAGTATCCTGATTTTTAGTTTAAGAGAAATAAAGCTAAAAAAGGCAAAGGTCTCCTGTGGTAATTGATGGAAATGGAACCTTCATCTGCTCTTCTAGATAGGCTACTCCAGAGTCAGAAAGAAATTGATATTTTTATCATTATGATCAGTCAGAACAGATGAACTACAGAGAGCAAGCTCAATAGTCCCCCTTTTTCGACTTCAGGGCTCTTTTAAGAGTTAAAGGAAGGACTTTTTTCTGAGGCATATCTTGAAAGTTTCACATATTATACCATTTACAATGAAGTCTTTGTCAATTTGATTGGGTTTTTATAGGTTAGGTACTCAGACTATGCTTTACAGATTTATGAATTTATTCTTATTTCCACAATTTTAAGTATTGCTGAATGTCTTCAGCCATTTGGTATTTTTAATACTGGAGAGGTTTTGTAAATTGATTCATTTGATAATGATTGAGAGGCTTTTATTATTCATCAAGAATTTTGAGGTAGCTTGGACTTACAGAGACACCTGCTTTTAAAAAGTTTAGTAGAACCCGTGAAGACTTTCTTGCTTTCCATAACTTAAACCATGGTCAGCAAAGAAAAAAGACATTTAGGTTATTCCTTACCCTCACAGTAGCATTAAGACAAGGGATCCGATTTTCAAATATTTTATTTCCACTTAATGGGTAATTCTCCTTCTAATTGACATCTAGAGGGAGTGTGCTTGTTTAAACTTGTCTGTTTAATACTGAATCAGTTTTTCTCTTTTACTTACAAAGCTTCGGTAGCACATCTGTATTTTACTCTAATGCTGTCAAAGATTTTTCCTTTTTGCTCTTTGGAACCTCTTGTGACACAGCAATTGTCTCTTATTTCCCTTTTTAAGAACAAATAACTTGTATACTAAAAATCTTTAAAACATAATTTTAGTCCTTAAAGTGTCCTCCTAAAAGAAGGCTTCAAAGCAAAAACTTTTACTGGTGTCTCCATTTTATTCTCTTTTCTTTCTTTCCATTAGGAAAGTATGGAGTGAAACTTGTATTAGTGCAACCTCAATTATGTGTTGTCAGGTCTTGGTCTAGCCTTGGCTTTGCTGTTCTCTGATTGTTTAATTTTGAACATATCACGGGGTCTCCCTGAGTTTGTGTTTTCTGTTCTATCAAAGGATCATAATATTGGGTTGTAGCCTCTCTAACATAAGCATATTTTATTGCTCTAAAATTTTATTCAGATGTGTGTATTGTTGTAGTTAGCTATGGCTGGTTTGATTCTTATTTTTATCTTGAAATTTTGTAGTTATCATAGAGTGCAGGGATTGTTGTCTGTTTTTTTATTTCAGTCAAAAGTAGACTGTGCTTTATTTGACATTATCCTTAGTCCCAAAAGGGTGGAGAGGTTGCAATTCATTGTATAGGTAACTCAGTGTTGAATGAGATGGGCTTAATATTTCCCTTTAAGATCATTACAGATTAAAGTGATCTTGAATTATTTACTACCATCTTTGAAGACTTTTTTTTTTTTAAGCATCTTTGCCATCTTAGTGATGTAATCAGTTTCTCAGAGACTGTATTGCCTGTAGGAAGAGCACTGGGAGTATACTGTGTGTCAGGGAGAAGTTGTCTAGGAATAAAAAGCACTCACACTCATTAATAGCCCACCCATTATAACTTCTCATATGTAGTATTTGCCACAATTACTATTAATTAATTTTTATCACTAATTTGTGTTTTTATTATTTTCATCTGTTTTCCCTCATGACACTAACGCTGGGGACTACCATGGCTGTTCACTATGGTGTTCCCAGTGCCTTGCTGTTCTTGATTCATACTGGGTGATAAATATTTTTTGAATATGTGATAAGTTCATAACTGATTGCCTTAGAAATAACCACTTTGAATATAATGGATTTTTAGACATATTAATTGGCCAAAGTTGGAATTCTATTATAATTTCTCTATTTCTGAATGATGAACGCTTGTGGAACAACAGCCCCAAAGTACCTAGCATATCACTGATAAAGCTCAGAAGAAGACCTTTGTTTAAAGTTTTAAACTACTTCATCAATGTGTGAATAGCACCTGCATTTTTATCTCTAAGCTAGACTTCTTTCCTTACTTAATTGGAATTAAATATAATTGGAACTATTGGGAGTCTCAAAATCCATGTTTCCAGATCTGCAGCTCCTACAGATTTCTCCACGTCAGTAAATAGTTTACTCTTCTAGTTGTGTCAGCCAGAATGTTGGTCTTTTTTGATGCCTGTCTTTCCCTTTACCTGCTATTTGATCAATTGGCAAATTCTGTTTCTCCCTTAAAGGTACTCAGATATTCAGATGTCTTACCACATTTCACCTTCAGTACTCCCATGACCTTGACGCAGGCTACCATCTTGCACCTAGATTACTGTGAGTGGCTCCACCTAGTTGGTCTCTGCACCAGCCCTTACTTCCCTCATGAGCTATCCACCCTGGTCTCTTTGACCTTATTTCCTGTTTTCTTTCTCCTTATTCAGTCTGCTTGATCCCCACTGGCCTGTCAGGCTCTACTCTGTCAAGGACTTTGCCCTTGCTGTCCCCTCTTCCTGCCATGTACCACCACAGTTACCTGCAGAATTCATTTCCCCTCCTTCAGGTCTTCATTCAAATATTATCTTCCCAGGGCTGCCCTATCTATAGTTGAAACTTTCCCTCAACACTTCCTAGCACTTGCTCATCATTGCTTTAGTTTTTACCACTTGTCACCATTTGGCATATTATATATATTGTTATTGTCCTTTCCCAATAGAACTAAAGTTCTGTGAGGGCAGTTGTTTTGTTTATCACTCTATTCCTAGTGCTAGGTACTACCTGGCACATACTTATGCTCAAGAAATATAGGTTAATAGAACCAATGAAAAGAGAAATAGAGCCTTGATCCTTAGTTTGCTGCTCCACCTAAATTCTCTGAAGGTTTGGAAATGATTATGCTTCCAGAAATGTTCAGATTTTAAGCAGTCTTTACTTCAGAATGTTTTTTTTTTGTGGTAATTTGACTTCTATTTGTGATGTCCATTTCCCAGACATGATAATTTCTTTTCCCCTATTAAAAGTTCTCCAACCTACCAGACTAATAAAAAAGCTTTTGCTTAGAAGGAATTCATTTTATATGTGAAGATGTGACATGAATCTTTTTCTGATTTAAAAAAAAAATTGAGAATTCTGTCCTGCAACAACCTCAGTTGATAGACATGTTTTGCGGGGAGAGGGCTGGGGTTTGAATTTCAGGCTTCATGAATGCTAAGAAGATGCCCTACCACTGGGCTATACTTACAGGTGATAGAATGTTGTATTCCAAGGAGAGCTAACCTTTCATACTTCTCTA